TTTCAGCACCATTTTTTCTCTCGCTCTCATCCACATTTCTGCTGAGAAATAAAAGCCCAAGCCTGAAAAGTGCCAGAACACAATCTTGTGAATCTGCCGGGGTGACATCACTTATCACGCCACTATGTCAGCAGCCAATTGGGGAGGTTTCTCAGGCAGCCGTTGCTCCTCACCTAGCCGGGAAGCCTATAGGAAAGTCTTGCAGCGCTGGGAAGGACTCGCTCTCCTATTGTGGGTGCTTATCTCGCCACACCTCCTCTCTGCCCCTTCCCGCTCTGCGTGCGTGCGCACACGCACACAGAGAACACAGCAGAGGCAATCCAGCCACCGTAGCCTGAATCTGTTGCCGAGTATTAAAGGCTTTTGGCAGCGATTCACGTAAGAACTTCCTGCTGGTTCTGGAGATTCGTATTTTTGTTCAGCAATTTCAGTGGGAGGACGAAGCTTCCTCTTCTAAGTCACTGATCATTTTAGCTCCTTGTTATGACAGTGTGCAGCTAATGGTCTTTGCATTTCTATCCCAAATTTATTAAAAGCAATTAAACTCCAACCAGATAGCCTGTAACCCTGTGAAAAGACAGCAGAAAATTTAAAGCTAGGACTATGTTCTGAATTTCCCCAGATCTCTCTGTTGATTTAACTAGACAAGACTCAATTCTTAGCGCACAGAAGCAAAGCCCAACACAGATCAGAGTAAGCTGCAGTGCTGCAAACTGAGGCTCGCAAGTGCACGCTCTGTTTACACCAGAGATACATCACTGCAGCTGCTGTCTAGCGGGAGAAATAGGAAATGGGCATATAATATTGCCACAGGACGGAGCAAGTATTAAAATCATCGGTAGGAACCCCAGAGATCTCTTCTACCTGTCAGACAACGCTTCTAAAGAAGCGGCTGTAATTGTCAATTGCTTCTCCCTCTGAAATAAAATGACAACTGGTACATCAAGCAAGCAAGTCTGTGTAGTCTTCTGGTACTGGTACAGCCTGCGCGTGTGAGAGGGGGAAAAGGAGACTGCAGGTTGTACTCTAGGCACACAGCTTTAAACCCAGCTAACTCAGCAGCACCTAAAAAGCCTGTGAGTACAAGTAGATTTTTACACCGTACTCATAGCAAAAATGTTTGAGCACCGCTCAACTCTGGATAGCGTAGTCACACACACTACACGGCTCTACTTCTCAGATTGCAAAGATCAAGCTAAAAAAAATCCAACTCCGGTATCCATCTTGCTCGCATTGACTCCGATACGAGCATTTGTTCCTACCGTATCGGTATTCACACAGATACCTGCATTTTTTAAAAAGCAGAATCCTACGAGAGCTGACTAGGCAACCCCAGGAAAAGGGGCACTGTTCGTTCCCAGCGCTGGGGTGGCACAGCCAGGCCAAGCCCAGCCACGCTGTCCCCGCTGCTAGCTCAGCCCTGGGCTGCCCGGTACAGGCGGGGAGCCCTGCGGACCCCCACCCAAGGGAGCCAGAGGGCCGAGTAGGCAACCGGGACTTCTGTCAGCGCCTGCTTGATTCACTACCCCCTCACCGACACCTAACAAGTCTTCCTGAAACTACTGGCAGCTCTAGCTGCTTCTTCAATCTCGTCTCCAACAAGCAAAACACTGGCAGAAATCGTGATTTATTTCTGCGAGCTCCATTCTGTATGGAATTCAGAGCTGTGAGCAATGACGTTTTATCCAGCACCACTGGAAGCGAACACTGGTCACAAAGCATCCTCCGGGCCTTCAGGATACCTCAGACAGAAAAGCCTAGATGATCCCAAGCTTGGAGCTGAATCCCAGTTTAACTTACTTCAGCCCGCAACAGTCTCTGACCCAGAAACATGACAGACTACTTTCTTTGTAACATACTTCCTTTGAGGGGAAAGCAAACAGTGACTCTTGAACACACCCCCTCCTAGGCTTTACCAGATCCAGTTACACAGATCAACCACAGATTAAGAGAGTGCGAGATCTGAAGCTGCCCAAGTGGCCACATACCTACCTGAAGAAATTGCAGATCTCATGGAACCAGGAAAAAGAAAGCAAGGCGATATTTTGTCACAGTAACCGAAACTCTTCATTAAATGGATGGGTACACAAAGAGACTGTGCTCACCCATGTTATTTGAGCAGAAACGAGAAGCAGCATGAAAATATAAGCAAACGAAGGAAATGGAAGGAGCACTCAACAGCAAAAACGGGGCAGACCATAGGAAACAGGAACGCAGCGAAGCAAGATGAGAGCAGAAGCGTCCAAGCAACCAACTTTACGGTGAACAGTGCAAAAGCAGAAGCAAGAGGTTCTCAATCAACAGTAAGCTGCAGACGAGGCACGTTGTTCCAGTTGCAGATCTGTCGGAATGGTCCCACAAAAGTTCTTTACGCTACCTGACGGACAATCAAATCGCTTGCTCCTGTTCACAAAACAATCTGGAAGAACGGTGAGGGTAGCTGCTGTAGGAAATGCCACACACACACACCTTTTATATTTCATCTAGTCGAAAGCTCACGTAACATTTTTTAAGTAAAAAGAGGAATTTTTTTTTTTTTTGAAAGGAGGGGGAAGACATACCTTTCGCTGAAGATTTTGTCCACATTAATTTTTCCGTTGGTCACAGATAGACTGTCTCCCACCATATATTTAGATGCATGTTACACATCAGCAGTAAAAGGTTGTGAAAATTCCCAGAAGATTTGTCTTAAAACACAGAGATTTGCATTAAAACACTTACTTAGGAGACACAGTCTACAAGAAGGATGCACCTGAGAGTCAAAGGCTCCTTCACCTACCACAGAAAGCATTCCGGGATCCGGTGCCTGAAATGTAAACTGCAGTCCCAAGCAAGGGGCAAGTTAAAGGCTGCAACAGCTGAATCAAGCGGGAGGTCCAGCACAACTCCATACACAGGAAGCTTTGCAAGGCTGTGTGCGTCCTGCTGTGCCCTAAATTATATACCTCAACCGCGACAACTTACAGCTGTAGGACTCGCTATTCTTCCCTTTCATTATACATGCCAGAATAAGCGCTTACGGTATTTTCTAGTCTTAAAATTCATTAATTTGTCTTTAGACAATTTAGGCAAATTAAACTGTACCAACAAAAAAAAAAGTTTCTCTGAACAAACTCCACAATCTTATCGGAAAAGTGTCAAGAAACAGTTTAAAACAGAAAATGCTAGTTTCCATACTGTCAATTTTCTGGCAGCTCAAAAAGTTAAGTCATGTTTACTTTCCTTGACAGAAAGCCACCACTCACTCTCCCCCTAACGTCAAGACTAATCATGCTTTAAGTACTGCAAGCCAAAATTTGGCTGAGTCAGCTCTGCTTAGCCAAGCAGACATACAGTGCAGGACACAAAGAGTGATTTAATGAAACGGAAATTAATTCAGCTTTTTCTTTTTCATGTGGATGCTGTATGCAGCATGACATTTTTCCAGGAGTATAATAACAAAACTAAAGCCTTAAGAAAGTGATGATTGAACTATGCAGCACAGCTCAAAAGTCCTAGCATTTTATTGGGCTTTCAAGACCCAAACCACAAAGAAGTCTTCATACATAACTGACTACAAGGCAAAGATCCTACAAACACTTGCACAGAATCAAGATATTATTTTGGTAGAATTTTTACATGTATGCACACATACACAAATGTATAAATAACACTTTTATAAAGAACTTTTTCATAAAACACAGAATCCAAGGTAAATTCTTTTCGTATGTATACAGTTATGTTTGAAAAGAGTCCAAGTAGGACCCAACATCCCCGGAGGGGCTCGTGAATAGCTAACTTAGCTAAATCTCTAGGTGCACTGCAGCTAAGTAAAGGCAGAAGGTAACTCTCCCAGAACGTAAGACGAAACACCCTTCTTGGTGCTGATTACAGAGGAAAGCCAGACACTATGCTGCTCACTTGTCTAGCTACATCACACTTAGTTGAAGAAGTAATATCACTATGCCGCTCTAAAGTAAGTGTGCAAATAAACCCCTTCTCTTCAGTCTTTACTTGAATACTCTTGTACTAGAATGAAAAGAAACTTGAAGACAGTCCTCAAACGCCATCAAAATGTGATTTATACCAGAATAATCTTAGTGCAAAGAAACTGCTGCTTTATGTAATATTATCTTGCATTTATTCTTTTGCAAAACATTGCATTACAGCTAAAAAAGTTTTGAAGCACACAATGAAATTTTTCTCCTATTAAGAAAATGTGTTTCTCTCAGTTGGCTGCAGAGAAACAATCTGCTCAGAACCCCCACAACCCTGCTCTCCAAAGCAGTTCCAAAGTAGCAGTAATTCAAAACCTCAAGCCCAAGTTTCACTCTAAGTCCCAGACGTCTAAACTTTCTGAAAGTAGGATTTATAATTTTATCCATCTCATTCCTCTGAAAAAAAAAAATTCCCATTTTCACGAAGTTCTGAATTTCTACATTAAAAACATGGAAAAGAATCACTCAATAACTAAAATGGGCAATAACAGTATCAGAACAATGACATGTCACACTGAGAATGAACAACGCTCCAGATGATACTCCTAGAAATAACCAGTGCTCTGGAACCAAGACTACGGAGGCACATTAACAACTGGAGTTTACGTCCCTTTTTCTTTAATCTGCAAATTTAACAGAGTTAGGAAAGCAAAGAGAAATACAAGGAGTACAATAGCGTTGACCAATTATATAAAATCTCATCAATTCTACTTTACATTTCATATGCCACTACATTATTTTGCTTTAAAAGTTTTCCTTGACAAGATGCTGGAGGACTTGGCGCAGGTATACATTGCTGACAATGGAAATATTTTTATTAAATGCTTCAGGGGAAAAAAGCAATGATCCCAAGCCGTTAAAAAAAAAACAACCCCAAGCAATCTTTCAAAAAATTATTCCAGTCTACTAACAGCAGCTTCAGTGTTCATGTAAGCCAGAACAAAATAGTTTCATCAAACATTATACAAAGCAGTCCTGTAAAAAAACCAAATAAAAGAAAGGGCAGAAAGACGCAGCATGAAGTAATTTCAGACAACCAGTTTTGTGAGAGCTTTAATGGCACAAAATGTTTATAAGCTACAACTTATACATGTACTGTAAACGGTATATAATGTTACAAAGTGCTAACTAATTTATGAAGAATGCATAATCACTTTGGCTCAGTTAATTCCAATATTTCAACAAATGTCAATTAAAAAATTTGAATTTCTAACAATCTTCAGCTTTCACTTTTTAAAACAGTAAGTAAATATGCGTTTCCTGCAGTTAAATTAGCCTGCTGCATTTTTAATGTGCGAGTTTATGCATTTGTTTTTTTCTTGATCCTATTTACAAATATTCTAGGCCAGTTTTCACTGAATGTAAGAAAAATGAAGCCTGCATTTTTTTTTCCAAAACTGTAAACAGGTATAAAGCTTTTTAAACAACATTTATCTTAACAAAACTTCAACTATCAATAGTTGAAACCCCTTTTCCAATTATACAACAATCTGTTTCTGTTCATTGTAAAACTAGAAGTTGTAGACTTTCATCCAAAGCTTATAGTAGGGTATCAATAAATACTGCATTGTATCATAGCAAGTGATCATGTATCCATTCCTCATCCGTAGTTTTCACGATTTTTACTTCACAGCTCCTTCAAATATTATAAGCTGTGTTGATACTCTAGCCACAAGCTTGCAATATTATTTCAGATATTTTGAAGAAATACCTTTTAATTTAGACAGGGATAATTTCCTTTTTTTTTTTTTAAAAAAGTACTCCCTACTTCGTAAAAATCCATGTCCACTATTCTTATTTCCACACATAACAAGGTGCTGTAATTAGAACTGAAAGTGTTTCAGCATTTCCCCCATCCCCTCAGTTTTTAGGGCTGTAAAATGATGTACTTGATACTATCTAAAACACCCTTCACCACTTCCCCCTTCCCTCCCCCACCTTTGGGTGAAACCCAATATCCACGCTTGAAACAAATACGCATTGTAGGCAGCTCGAGTGCCACTAGTATTCACAACTGAAAGAAAAAAAAGCAATGTCTTGAACAGAATTTTTTGTTAGACTGCCCCTTCATCCTGAAAGCATTCTCTAACAGCATTCAGAAGTAGAGAATAAAAATAAATACAGTTTAGCAGTGGATTTACGCTTAACTTTTTTACTTCCTGGGAGCTAAGTAAGTTCTTTTAAATGAAACCTCAATTGGGATTTAGCTTCTATGCATCAACTGTTTCAAGCAGTCACTGCTATATCAAATAATCAACTTTTTATAAAAGATTGATGCAAGCAAACAATTATAGGTAGTTGTTCTCTCCAAACTGGCTGACTGTATTTTCTTACCATTTTCTACAAGTCAGCTTACTAAAGTTTTTATTTAAATGAGATTTTTGCTAGTCTTAAAGTTAGCATTGGTTCCCTAAATACTTAGTATTAAAGTCTATATCATATTTTTTTTATATATTCATATATATATATAAAAAAAAGAGTATTCTATCCTTCAGAGTCATGCTACATGTTCTGAAATCTGATAAAATCTATTTAAGGACATGACTGTCCCAATGCTTCGTAACAATTTGGTACTAAAGCTTCACATTTTGAAAAGAAGTGTCACTGGAGGAGGACAAGGCTTAATGTTCCCTAAGAGAAAAGTTCAACAACATTAGTGAGAAGTCTATCTAACATGAGACATCACGAGTGACTTTCAGATTCCATGTATCCCCAAAGGAGATTGTACAGTAAACAATGAGAGATAGGAATATTGAAAACTCATTTGCAGAAGACATTTCAGAGCTTTACAACTTCTGAATCTCTACGCACCTGCAAGATTGTCCCCCTTAGAGATAAGTCAAACGCTTTACTTTCTGAAACTGCCATATCATCATCACTGTAAAATGGTTCCACAACAAACAGAATCATATCCTTTTATACAGAGTCTAACTACAACCTACAGCTGTTGGGTTCTTCCTTAATTTAAAACTACTTTTAAAAGGAAAATTTCACATTTTAAATTTTCCCTTAAGAAAACAGGTAAGGAAAAAAAGCGCTTCTTCACATGCAAACAATGCAATTTTTTCTAATATTTTCTAGGCATCAGACAGGTTTTCCTACAAGGAATAAGGAGCTGACTTCATAGAAAAGACAAGATTACAACAATTACCTAATATTAAAATATGCTGATGAATTTAGTTATCCTACTTTAAAATTTATGCAGTCTTTGCCTCCTGCAAATCAAATGGTGTTAGCCAATACAAGGGGCCAAGTAAACTCCCCCAAAAGGTGATTTAAACTGTTTCTTATTGCAGTGATTTCTTCGTTTATTTCACAACCAGCTTGTTTTCCAAAAGAAAAATTCATTTTCACTCCAATCAATAATTTTCTTCCAAAGAGACTGTTAATTTTATCACTGTAATACAGTCAACATTTATACCATGCACAACTGCAATTTAAGTCAGGTTGCACTAAGGAGGCAACAGCATCACTGATAAAATTAAAACTTGCTGGTGGCATTTTGCATCGAGAGAAGCCCTTGCAACATATAGACAGTTGTAAACTCCGTTCAGCAACTCTGACGTGTCTTGCGGGCCAAGAGGCAGGGGAATGGGAGGAGAGAGGGAAAGAATGTGGATAGCGAAACACCTCAACAGAGTTCCAACACAATACTGAATTCCAGAGTTAGCGAAAACCTGGATATGTAAGGAAAGGGTGAAGTCAGGGTCATGCTTAAAATGGTCTCAAGTCAAATGTACTAAATGAGACAGTAACACCTTCACAGGTCACGTGGATTTCCAGGTTTTGCACCCCATCTTTCAATAAGTGCTGGCTGAAGGTGTGGTCAGTCGTTTTCCAATGTAGATGCTGAAATAAAAAGTATAAGGCATATCGTATTTCACAGAAATACTCTGTTTTCCAAACAGTCCTCACGCACTCTGCTATTCTAATTTGTCTTTCAAGTAAGTCTGAAGAGATTCTTCCAAGTATTTCACTTCACTTCTATAAAATTACTTAAAAAGCGAGATTTTCAGATGAGCCTAGAAGGACTGATGCTATCAACAATCAGTAAAAGCGGGCTGCTTCTAGACCCAAGCTCATTTGAAAACCCCAGCCCAAAAGCTTCTCTGTTGTTTCTAGAATATCAGACACAGGGGCTCTTGAACAGCCGAGCCACACTCCCGGGTTATTACAGTAAAACAAAGTACTCCCTATAAAGGGAGGGGGTGAGCTTCAAAACACTGAGCATCCAGGATCTACGCAAACGCTGACCTCTTAACAAATCCAGGCAAGGTTTAATTCGTTGCAGAAATACACCATTTTGGTATGGTACAAATATCTTACAGTACATTCTCATCTATCCTATCCTCCTGCTTTATTTGGTAACTTAGCTGAATTTAATGACACACTGGAGCTACACCCCCGGAAACAAATATGAAGCTAAATAAAAACGCATTTTGAGTATATGTCTTTGCCCCCATCACAGAAGAACATGAAATGCATAAATGTAACGTAAGGATTTAAGCAAGCCGAGAGATTATGTCGGATTATGCAGGCAATGAAAACATCGCTGAGCAGAGTCGTAGCTGATCTTGCAGGACACATCCAGTATTTCATGTATCTTTAAGAATTCAAACCTTGACTTTCAGGAGTATCACACGACTGCAGCATTAGACATTGAAAAGTAGACAGTATGTGCCATACACGCAGAATTTCAGCATCATTATTTGTACAATGCAGTTTTGTAACAGTTAGTAAAAGCTACAGCAGTTTTCCACCTATTCTGTTCTTACTTTCACCACATTATAACCTGCAGAAGCACTTAAGCAGAAGGCGCGGATAATCAAATGGCACGTTATAATGGCAAAGTTATTTACAAATTCATGATAATCCGTGCATTTTCAATATAAGAAACTTGATCTATTCTAGAAATAAAACATATTAACTGCTGCAAAGTTTTAATTGCTGCGAAGTTTTCCTACATTTCAAAAAGCGCACCAAGTCTGTCGTGAGCAAGGTGCAACAACACTCCAGATATTCTAGATAAAGCCCTTTTCAGCAGGCACCCAACATACAAGCAAAGTGCAAAAGCAAAGCCAGATGCAAAAGTTGAAGCGAGAGTTAGGTTAATACTTACCCTAGTCCCAAAGCCAAAACATGAGATATGAACAGAGATGGAATGAAAACCTTAAGAAATTCTGCAGAGAAAATGCCACCTTTTTTCATTGCTCCACTTTTCCTCATACTTAAAGACACTGAACGTTTAGGATGCCTGAAATGAAATTCCCTGAAAGAAGAGGGGGGGGGGAAATTCAACAAGGTATTTTTTGTTTCTTTCCTTTTTTTTTTTTTTTTTGCACACAAATGCACAGATCTCTGTAGGAACTTTTTTTTTAAAGTACAAAGAGCTAGAGATCAAAGCAAGAGATCCCTTACACAGAGTAAGGAATCAAAGAGAATAATAGGAGGTATTGTGGAGAGACCACTTACACAGACAGTATAGAGACAAAGGGAGCAGTAGCTGAAGAGAGAGGTAGGTCCGAGAGAGGGAATTTCAGGATGTGATTTGTTAGCAAGAGCCTCATTTTTTGTTCCAAACAGAGATACAGAAGTCTGCCAGATTTAGACAGCATCCTCTATTTTAACAAAAATGCTTTGCATTCAAGGATCTCAACGTTTCCCCTTCCGTGGATGAACATTACATATTTTACATAGAAAGAAAAAAAGGTACAGAGAATTTAGGAGATTTGCTCAACACTATTCCATTCAATAAGCCAAAACTAAATCCCATGAATCCCAGCTCCAAGTACCCAGCTCTCCCAATAACTATAAATTTGTCAAGAAACCTTGTAATCAGCATGCTGTGGATATATATTACTTTAAATAAAAAGGTAATTCTGTTGTTATTTAGACTTCCATACTTCATTGTTTTGACTTTCTGTAGCCTCCCCAAAGAGAAATCTGTCTTTTCCTAAGATGATCTTATTTGGAGAGCCAGAGTAATTCCATGCAGTTGTGACTTATGATTCTTCTCTCCTTCATATAAAAGAATATTCATTAAAAAAAGAGTTTAACTCACTTGGGAGGAATGTTTTCAGGCCTACTTGACCAGTCTGACACCCAGTCAGCACTTTTCTTCAAAACTTCCAACTCTTTCTCTCCTTCTACTGCTTCTTCTTCAGACTGAAAATATACATGGGACAAGCCGTATAACACTCAATTAGCTCCTCCTTATGGTGTTAAATTGAGAGTGACAACAACAGTGGTAAAATGATAAGCACCAAATGGTGGCACCTGATAAACGAGCAAGTGTTCTTGGACAACTGATTATATAGAAGAGATTTTATTACGGAGGATCTGCAGAAGTCAGTATACCACAAATTTTAGTACTATATCCAGGACATCATTGCAAGTGGTTTGTTTGTTTAAAACCTTACCAGAACAGGATTATTTTAATCCTGAATGTAGTAATGCAGCATTACACAAAAAATATTAAACAAAGTTTTTACAAATGGCAAAAACTGTAAGTTAATGGTATTTGATTTAAAGCGTACAGAACGTGGCTAAAGCACAGAAAGACAGCCAAATAAAAAGGTTTCAAAAACAGAATTTTGACTTTTTTAAAGGTGTTATTAGGCATTTAAAATTCATATTACTTGCAACTAGCAGCTTCTGCTGGGTACATGCCAGATGCAGTAGGGAAAGGAAAGCACTCACAACAATCGTATTGATCCAGAGACTTAACATCACATCATTAGAATGTCACCATATCAGAAAAAAAAAAATAAACTGGAAAGACTAGAGAACACTACTGACTTTGGTACAAACCGCCCCTTAATATTAAAACGATTTCCTGAGGGACCCGGAGTAAAGATAAACCACTGAAAACATTAAAGTGGGAACCATACCAAAACCAGAAGTAATCAAATGTGACAGTCAAAAAAAGCGACATGGCAGACGTACCCAGTAACTTCATTTGGATTGTTCTGGCTCTATAGGGCAGAACTGCAGCAGCCCCACTGCTGGGCCAGGTCTTTGACAAAATTAAATGCAAGGTTTCATTCTTCCAGGAATGCTTTTTATTTATACTGCTGAAGACAGCAAATTCTATTAAAAGATCAAACTAAGAGTTCAGCATTAGTCTCCTCTCAGTTTGTGTTATGGAGATTACTCACTCTCATGCAAGCGGACTATCTGTAGAGCAATGAACTGTACACCCTGAAGTCTTGTGCAGAAATACAAACAGTCCAAAACCAAAACAGGTTTGACATACACAGTGCAAGCAGTGTTAAATAATAGTATGACTGCTACTAAACAGGGCATTTCTCAGCTATAGAGATGGAGCCTCATTTTTCCTCTCACTCCAGAGCTATTGATTTCTACAAGTCAAATTTCAATTAAAACAGAATTAAGCCTAAGAACTAAGCTGCCTCGTTATTAAAAATAATTGTTCTGGAATGTGTTTTAATTTAATAAAACTTTATTCTAAAAACAACCACTTAGTTATTTTAAATTGACATTAAGCTTGACTGCACAAAAATTATTTATAGAATACCTCCTTGTAAATATAGTAAAGTTCTAATAAAAAAGATTGAGTAAAAGCCTGGAAGAACAAAGTACAAGACAAGTAAACAGTCTACCCAAATGACTAAGGGACACTTCCAAATTTTGAATAAATAAGGTTTATATAATTCCTTTGCTTGGTAATGCAGCTAACAGGCAAGTTGAGGTTCTCAGAATGAAAAAAATTTGCTATCAAGCAGTAGTTTAATGCATTTTTTGACATGTAAAATACGTAACATTTTAGACCTTTTGACATGACAGAGAGATTGCTCTAGCCAAGTATGCCCAGTACTGATCTATATAAATATACGATCTATATACAATATTCAAAGCTTTAAAATATATTTTTTTAAAGCTAATGTATTTTAAAGGTTAATGAAGAAAATACCTGAGAACTACTGTCTTTACTTGTGTGCATTTCCACATCAAAAGTTATCTGTCCATCTTCTTGAGGTGAAGGGCTAAAGAAAAATTGGATTTCATTATGTCATTTTGTCATACTACACTCTGTCACCTAAAGAATCATTAGTGTAAATAGCATCTCAGCTGAATCATTTCCACATGCACACTATTCAGATGAGTTACACACTACACTGTCCTTCAGATCACAAATATCGGTATTATAGAGTCTTCCAAAACCCCACAGGTTTTCAGGTTTTTTTATCATTTGCAATCGAACCTTTCTCAACAGGGTTGACAGTCCTTTCACTGAAGCAAAGTAAGCACTGCCCAAAACTTCAACTGTTACACAAAAGATGTAGACCCCTTCCTGCTTTTAGATAACACTGCCAGTACTGTGAATTATACCTCCTTTTGTATCATTACAAGCCGAAACGTCACACATCAAAACACCTTTTTAATGCCTGGCAAGAATAGGTATTCCCCTTGTTGGCCTCACTTTGAATATTTGGAATTTGGTAATCTACTTCAGCAACTAATCAACCCTCACAACTCAACCAAGGAAACACTAGAGAATTTAAGCCAGGAACGATACAAAATGTCACATGATGCACCAATGCAGGCACGTCTCATTAAAATGCTAAGGGCATCTTTTTAACCTGACTTTCATGAAAAAGATGTAGTTTAGAAATATCCAAAAAGAACCCAAAACACCACATTTAAGAGCAACTTATTGTTTAGAACTTTTAGAAAAAAATGCAACACATCAAAGTACCTCCCCTTTCTTGTATGTTACTTCAACTGTCAAAAGGGGAAAAGAATTACCAAAAAGTTAACAAGTAAAGTACCTCCCCTTTCTTGTATGTTACTTTAACTGTCAAAAAGGGAAAAGAATTACCAAAAAGTTAACAAGTAGAAAATTAAGTTAAAAAAAAGAGGAATCTGTCTTCATTCACCTAAAGCATGGGTAATGGCTGAAAAAATCCTATGCTAGTAAAAGAAACTACACAACCATCATCCCACAAACACTCCTTGTTGAAAGTACAGTACTAAACTATTGACAACTCGTTTCTTAGCAACTTAGCTGTAACAAACTTTATTTTTTATAAACATGACCATTCCATTTGAAATACTCATACGGATTATTTTCAACGAGTCTACTACATTCAGTAATTAAATCAGGCCTAACTAGTTTTAAATTGCTTTTGTATCAGATCAACCGATATATGGCCAAGCCCAGAGAGTTGTGGTGAA